AAGTGGCAACACTTCAAGCTCTTAAGCTGTAATTTTTTAGCTGTGTACATTTGTGTTTTTATTTTAAAAAATTCTTGAAGTTTAACTGATTTTTATTACCGTGTTAATACAAATTTTTAGTGATTAAACTCTCAGTTTCATGATAAGTAGTAAATGTTTTGGTTTGTGCGGTATTAAAAAGTATTAAAAAGTTTAAACTTTCCAATTTATGGTGCCGAGTCAGCCTTTCTTTCATTTTGTTTTATTTTATTATATTTTCTCACTTTGTTTATCTTATTTACTTCTTTATTCACAGCTGTGTTGCGTTTAGCTTTTTATTTGTTACAGTGCTTCTTCAAATTGTCTTGGTTTTAAACTTTGATAAAAAAAAATTGTTCTTAATTGAATTTATTATTATTAATATTTTATTAACACACTAATTTATTATTTATCTATTAAATTTTACTTTACTAATTTCTACTTACTCTTTTATTTGATCTTCATTCTTGTGGTTTATTATGTCTTGTAACTTCCCCAATTGTAACATTAAAGGCGAGTCAGATCGCTACGTTTCATGCTGGCTTTGTGATGGGCTTGCCCATATTAAATGTGCTGGACTGACTGGTAGAATCTTAGATTCTATTCTCGACTGTAAGGGATTGCGTTGGTCCTGTTTAAATTGTAGATCTATTGAAATCGATCTATTTAAAGTTTATAGGGAGACACGCAATGGCTTTAACGAAATCGGTCGTGATCTTGTAACCCTCACTGAAAAATTTAGGCACTATGAAAAATTGTTCAAATCTTTTAAGTGCCTGAATGATTCTCACGAATCCTCTAAACCTGCTCCTAAGCGTAAACGTCCTTCCGATGAAGTAACTCTTAGTTCTTCTGTTCAGAAAAGAACGTATCCTCCCAATGACCTAATAAATCTCTCTTCTCCTTGCCCTCAAGGTGATAAGCCGTCAACTTCCAAAGAGCTCAATTCCCCAAAAACTCTATCTAATAGTAATAAGTGTCTCACAATTCCAGAGGCTCCCCCTATTAACTTAGTAGCATCAGTTAATAATTTGATAGTTATTCCACCTAAAAAGTCTATATTTATTTCGAGACTTGCCAAAGATACCTTGGTGGAGGACATTAAATCTTACATTTCGTCACGTTTAAAAATCGATGATATCAATATACATAAATTTAACTTCAATTATGATAGAAGTATAACATCGTTTAAAATAGACGTATCTAGTGAAACATTCAAAAAGATGTTAGATAGTTCATTCTGGCCACCTGGGGCTTTTGTACGCGAATTTAAACATAAACTTAGAAGTCAAACTGAGGAAAACATTGTTAAATTACCAAAAGCAACCACCGATATAAAAAACTGATTGGTAGAAATTCGCTAAGCATTTATTATCAAAATGTTAGAGGTCTTAATACAAAATTAACTGACTTGTATTTGAACAGTTCCAATTTTAATTTCCATATAAATGGATTTACAGAAACTTGGTTAAAACCTCACATTTTTGATAATGAGATTTTAAACAGCGAATTTCAAATTTTTAGATGTGATCGACTGAACAGAATCGGTGGAGGTGTTCTATTTGCCGTGCATTCCTCTATCGCATCTGAAAATATTCTTGTTCCAGGGACCGACTCATTTGAATTTAAATGTATTAGAGTATACGTTAATAGTTGCTTTATTTATTTAACCCTATCTTATATACCACCCCATTCGGACTTATCTGTATACATGCAGCATGCTTCTTTAATAAATAGTGCTACCTCGATGGCAAATAATGCAGATTCAATAATTGTATTAGGTGATTTCAATTTACCGTGTGCTTCGTGGAAACCTTTCGATGACTATATCGTGCCGATTTGCAATCGGTCATGTTTTAATGAGTTTTTCGAAAAAATGTCCGAGTTGGGTTTGATTCCGAATAAATTTGGTAAATGCTTAGATTTAGTATACGTTGATACCTCTGCAAAGTGTTCCGTTATTCAGAGTAATCCTCTTGTTTTACCAGAGGACTCATATCATCCTGCTTTGGAAATATCTGTCGAAATCTCAGGCATTGTACGGGATAATAATCATCAAACTTCGTGCTTCTGTACTCGGTTTAACTTTGCAAAAGCTAATTTAAAAAAATTAAATACAGAACTTTCTACAATAACATGGCCTAATTATAATGGTGACATTGAATTGAGTGTCTCTCATTTTAATAACATTATTATGAAATTATTTGAAAAGTATGTTCCAATAGTAATTGTTAATAAAAGCAAAAGTATAAGTCCGTGGTTTTCGAAAGAGTTATATAAATTGAAAAACAGAAAAACTCGAGCCTTTAAACATTTTAAAAAAACCGGTCGACTATTCTAAATATTCTCTATTGCGTCGACAATATTTTGACCTAAACAAAAAATGTTATAATAATTACTTAAATAAAGTAAAAAAAAATATTATAAGTAATCCAAAATCGTTTTATGATTTCGTCAACTCCAAACGCAGGATTTCCAAATTTCCGTCCGCAATGAAATACAAATCTATCATTTCAAGTGACAATGATATTATATCCAATATGTTTGCAGAATTTTTTAAGTCAAACTACTGTAATAATTCTTCCAAAACTTTTTCTTATCAGCAAGTGCTGTGTTCGAAGACGTCCTTTTTAATTTAAATAAGTTAAAACCATCTTTTAGTTATGGCCCAGACATGATACCCTCATGCTTCCTAAAAAATAGTGCCAAATATATTTACTTGCCTTTGACAAGGATATTTAATTCCTCTCTTAAACACGGCATATTTCCTTCAATATGGAAACAGTCATTTATAATCCCTTTGCATAAAAGTGGATTTAGATCCAACATTGAAAACTATAGAGGTATCGCAAAACTATCAGTTATACCTAAACTTTTTGAAGCTATCATCACTGACCATATAACCTTTTCGATTTCTCCGTTAATTTCCTCATCTCAGCATGGATTTCGTAAAGGGAACTAGACTATAACAAACTTACTTGAATTTGTAAACCATGTATCATTGGGTTTTAGGGAACATAAGCTTACGGATGTTATATACACAGACTTTAGCAAAGCTTTCGATAAAGTAAATATCTCGATTCTCATACATAAACTTGATCTGCTGGGCTTTCAGCCAAGATTCCTTCAATGGGTATCTTCCTATCTTTATAATAGAACACAACGAGTGATATTTGAGAATACACCTTCAGATACAATTAATGTTTCTTCTGGTGTTCCGCAAGGTAGTCATCTTGGCCCGATTCTGTTGTTGTTTATTAACGATATCTCTTCAGTAATAGAATTCTCAAAAATTTTATTCTACGCTGACGATGTAAAGCTTTTTAAATCATACACTTTAACTGAGGAAAGGTGTCTGTTGCAAACAGACTTAAACAATTTGGTTGCATGGTGTGATAGAAATGATTTGCCATTGAATCTCAATAAATGTAAGACGATGTGCTTTTCCCGTAGATCTGTGCACCCCTCTTCTTATGTAATAAAACACCATATTCTAGAACAAGTTTTTAACTATGTTGGTTTGGGAGTTAATATGGACCCTAAGCTTAATTTCAGTCTTCATATTGATACCATGCTCTTGAAAGCAAAAGCTGTCCTCAGTTTTGTTAAACGTTGGTCTAAAGAATTTAGAGATCCGTATATTACTAAAACACTTTATACAACTTTGGTTAGACCTATATTGGAATATGGCTCTGTGGTATGGAACCCTAGCTACCAAATCCATTCTAACAAGTTAGAGTCGGTTCAAAAACAATTTTTACTTTTCGCCTTAGCGCATTTCCGATGGGATGCTAGGGTAAGTCTACCTCCATACACTAGTCGTTTAAAACTTATTAATCTACCTACACTTTCTAGTCGTAGGGAAATGTTTGGCATAACATTCTTAGTGAAACTTTTGAATGGAACTGTTTGCAGTTCTTTTCTCCTGTCTGAAATTAAATTTAATATCCCGGTTCGCCTTTCGAGGCAGTTTAGACCTTTACTGCTAAAATCCTGTAGATCAAATTTTGAACTAAACGAGCCATTCCGCCGTATATGTCAAGATTTTAATTCTCATTCCAGCACATTTGACTTATTTGACTCACTTTTCTAAATTAAAAAGACTATTGTTTTCTCTTAATAAATGAAAATGTAACAATTTATTATATTGTAACTTTAGATCTTAGCTGTTGAAATTTTTGTGTCTGTAGCTGAGCAGTTTTAGATCTTAACACTTAAAAAACTCTCTTGCCTTTTCTGACTCGGCTAATTCCGCAAGTATGCGGATTGCGCCCCTCGCGTTGGTTGGGCGGGAGGAGGGTAATCGTTGGGTTATTGTTATATGGTTATATCCTGTATTTCAGCTATCATTGGTTAGCCCTACTACGTATATAAGGCAAATTGTCGGCATCTTTAACGATATTTAGTATTGCACATGGCTACTGATCTCAGCATAGATAACAATTCGTGATTATTTTACGTTTTTGAGAAGCACTTATTAAAGTAATTGTGAACATTGCTCGAAAATTCGTAAAATGAAACAGAAAGAAGTAGAAAACAAATTCGTTCATTGTAATATAAAATCGTTAGGTTTGGTAAATAGTGTATTAAATTGCACGTTTGTCGTAAAATTATTAGGACTTTCAAGTCGTACTAAATGCTTCAGCTGCTCAGTACTATTGCTTTGTAAAAGATGACATTTTTTTTTTTAACTGATGACACAATTATTACAAATATTCTATTGGAAACGTTGTCTCTAACGCCAAATACAATGGGTTTGTTAATTTGATCCAATCTGTAAAACATACATAAGTACATATAAGAAGCGTCCATCAAGAAAGGCTTTATGTTAAAAGTATTATCACAAAACTGAAACACGGTGGGTAGTTTCAATTGCCGCAGCAAGAAAATATTACATAATTTGAAAGATATTTTTAAGTTTTGGGAAATAAAATAATAATAATATGTTATCGTTTCAAATTATAAGACTAGACTGATATGAATATAAATCATAGACAGTTTATTTTCTTAAATTTCACTAGTAGTATATGTATATAGAAATAATAATTTGTTATTCTACTATATGTAACTGTAACTTTTGACATATATATATATTTAAATTTGTGTTTGAGGTCTTATATTATGTAATATATATACATATATATTTAATATATATACATATATTGTCATTATGTATGTGTGGGAATTTATGATAAAATTATTTGCGAAATGGCGTCGAGCCGGCATGCTATGCTAATAGTAAGTATTAAAAAATATCGTCACCTAAAATGCGAAATAACGTAACATTTTGTTTGTTAAGTTTACAGGAATAGGAAACACGATATAAAATATAAACTGGAACTTTGTTTATACCTTAGATACATCTGGTAGCTGAAGCTTGAACTTTTTTAATATTATATGAAATATGATGTGAATCGTACTCAGTACAACACGTTATCGAATGTAGGTGACGATATATATACCTACTGTTTTTCAATTTTACTGTGTTGTGTTAATTCTTGTTTTGAATTTTGCTTTGCTGAATTGCAATTTTCACAGCAAACCAAAGAACGGAAACTGTATACTCCTCAAGAGCTAGGTTAGCTTTTGACATTTACACAAGTGAATACAGATATGCATTCACGAATGAACGGATTTAAATGAACCACTGCAAGCACAACAAAGAAGCTATAAAAAAAGAAACGGATGAATGAAAATATAATGTTATTAAGTAGTAAAAATTAATTTATTACTATTATTATTTATTCTACTTAAATAGGATTATAAAGAAAGGCTACTTTTAATAAAAAAAAAATAGAACAAAAATGCAAAAGTTCGCTTAATATAGTGGAAAGCAAACTATCAAACTAAACTGAAAGGTAAAGTAAGTAAAAATAATATTATATATACTTAAAGAGTTGATTAGCAGATCATAAAGTATGTATGTACAATACATATATACATATACTTTGGTAGAAAAGTTGCACAAACATTTCCATTGACCAAGGATTGGATATGCTACAAATCTCAATAGAAGAGAATGATCCGATATAGAAGCTTTTCAAACATCGGTTTATAATGGGAATATTTTAAAGCTTACGTACAACTCTCATCAGATTAAGGGATGGTGAAAGGGTGACATTAAAAGAAGAAAAAGCTCTAGCTCTAGAGAGGACTCTAGGTTTTTTTTACAATTAACAGTAAGATATAGTTTAAAAAACAAAATTAGGTTACACAAATTTTAAATCAATGAATAGACTGACCTCTAAAACAAGCATTTCATTAAAAATAAATTTAAAGTTTTAGAAGCTTGGACTTGAATTTCACACATAAGCACAGGCACAATTTCATCGATATCCTTAGATGTAATTATCGATTAATTAAAATTTGAATATTGTAACGGATTTCTCGATAAATCGTCTAACTATAACTCACTCTTGAGCTCGATCATTTGATTGTTAAATTAAAGTCCCAATTTAATGCTATACTCTTGATTTCCAATTCCAAACACTTATTGCTCGCTATTCGAACTTACAACTTATAGCTTAATTGCTCTTTACACGGCAACAGTCTAATTAGAACTGTGTCTGCTGCACAATACGGCCGCTCTTATACAGTAAATTTTTAAAAAAAGTTCGCTACTAGAACATTCTGACAACTACGAATTCGCTGTCTAGTTGCTTCTGGCAGTTTATCGTCAATTCTGATTTGTTCTGGTACTCGTGTTTGCCACAATATGAAGATATAAATATATACATACATTTGTTGCCAAACTCCTCCGAAACGGCTGTACCGATTTTGATGAAATTTGATGTGCATATCGGGTAGGTCTGAGAATCGGCTAGCATCTATTTTTTATACCCCTAAATGTTAAGGGTGGTCCAACCCAAATTTTATTATATTTTCCGCCATATAATTTTTTTCTTTAATTTTCTATCGCCACCAAACCTTACAGGATCGCTCGCTGGCCTACCTGAAGCTTCTCCGATCATTGAAATCGGTTCAGCCCGATTCGGAGTTTATAAGGAGCATACGAACAAACTTTCTCTTATTGACAAAACAACTTTACCGTTCGAACAGCACATTCCAGGGGACTCTTTCGCGAACTTCAAAGCACCACAATATGAACAAACTTTGTTCATTGCACCGATCACTAGCTCCTTGTGATTTCTGTAGTCGTCATCCTTACTGTAGTTGAACGCCGCAAGTTTTAAATCTATTCTTTTTCGTGATTGAGCCATTCGGGTTCATCAAGTATTTGCGTACGTTTTCGAATTGTCTCGGTAGCTCGTGATGAAGTTTCTTTATCACAATTTTGTTCACGCTCTTCTTCAGTTTCCATATTACTTCTTGTAGATATTCTGTTACGATTTTTCTCAAGGCGTAACTCACGTTCCTTAGCTGTTTCATTTGCCCATTTTTCCTTAACTTTCTTTGATTTGGAGGTTTTTTTTTTTTACCAATACTTTCTTTTTTTGGTGCCATTTTTTATTCATTACAATGATTCTGTGAAGATACATGGTGAAGCAAAATACAATTTTCCGTTGTAATAACCAATTTAAAACGCATCAGTAAACGAATACATTCGTGACGCTACAACTTACCTCAAATTCTTAAAAATCCTTAATTATTTACTTTAATATACTTTATTATACTCCATTCTATTTCAATATGCTTCGTGATGAAATATACAATACATATATCCACAACGCATGTGTCAACACAAATTTGGGTTATAAAACAATAAAATATCATCATAGTAAATAAAAACTGTATTTGGCAGTTCAAACAGAAAAGTGCTCCGATCGTCACCAAACTTTACAGGATTACTCGTCAGGCCAATCTTAAGATTTCCTGAGAGTTTCATTCAAATCAGTCTAAGTGAATTTAGAATTGAAAGTACTATTGTACCAAATGGGCCGGTTTATCAGCTACAATGAAGCTTCCTGGGGTACCTTCGGTTTCCAAACAAATAAACAGGATCTATCTATTTAGTTCTGTATCTCGAAAACGGTCAGCGCGTATTTTTCACAAACGAAATCGTGCTATAATATTTGGGTCGTGTATATACAGTCAATCCATAGTAGACTGAGTGCTTTTATCTGCGACTGTTGTTGGATAATGTCACCAGACCATTGTAATTTCAATATATGCGTAAAAAAATGGACAACTGCGATTGCTAGAATATGTTTGCTACAGCTGCATTAAATTGCACAGGAACACAAATTTGTTTACTATTTAGTACTGATAACATGTTTCCTGATCCGAGCACAAATGCTGTGGGATAATTATAAAGATTTGTTGACAGAGAAATAATGACATGATACGAAACTCTTTGATTCGAGAGAGAGCTGTCAAAACCCACATTTTTTAAAACATTTGTCAATAATGCCACTGTTGAAAGAAAATGGATTGGATACTTTAAAAATAACTTTTGGGCATTTTGCATTTCGATATTATTTTTATGTGCTCGGTTCCCCAGTAGGCCTATATCACGCATATTCATCCCTAAATACGTGTATTCATATTATAAAATTTTTAAAACATCATATAACATAAAAAAATTATATAAAAATAAAAAAAAAACATCACATTGAAACAATACAGGTCAAAATAAAATATCAGGGTTTTATGATTACCGTTTTAAATTAAATAACCAAAAAAACTTTAGTTGCACGTTATTCAAAAGTATTTAGGTCCTTCCTTGAAATTTCGTTTCGCACTGCTTTTGTTAGCTATTTTTAGCGACTTCATTTCTGACATCCCGCTATTTCTGATATCAGCTGTTCAAAATTCCCTAATCTTCATAATCAGGGAAAGAGAATGACAGAAAAAATTGGGAAAATGAGAGAGTCTCGCATCAGTTCATCCTTGACCAGAGTGTATCTGATTTAATCAACACAGATGCAAGTATAAATCCTGAAGCGCAGTATGATGCTGTCGAATTGGTAGCGACTGTTACTCGCAATGTTCCACAACTAAATGATAAACAGAAATTTACTTATGACCGCGTACTGTTTGGCGGCACTCTATTATTTCTTTCTGGTGATTTCAAACACGTTCAACGTACGCTGATGATATCAACGCTTGCTTAAAACTACCGCGACTGTGGCGTAATGTTGAAAAAGTACAACTGCAAAAGTTCTTCTTCTGGTGCTGGCGTTTCCGCCGAGCACCTCAGCTTTACCTACGTTTTCATTCGTCTGGCTTCTGCTGACTGGCTTACCATCCCTAGCCGGTAACCGCGCTATTAAAAGTTCTTTTTTTTTGTGCCTTTCGTGGAGGACGACTCCGTGGTATCGGGCCGTGACCTACCTGGGGCACTATCCGATTTCGAAGTCGGTTCCGATATATTATCACCTGTTTCTGTTTCTTATTTTTGATTATCTTTAGAGGGAGTCCTCCGAACCTACACCTACCACTTCCTTGATTGTGGCAATCATGTATGACAATTTACTTAGATATGTAAAATCAACCAAAATTTTAAAACAACAGCTTAACAAACAAACAACAGCAATGTATACTTAAATATTAATACTACATATTTTCGCAAGTGGACACATAAACCATGAACGAAGTTCTACAAATATTATATTCAAGCAACCATTCCGTCTGGCTTAGTAAATTATTCGTACAAATAAAATTTCATAAAATTTGTCTCGGATATTTTCAAATTGATTTTTTCGGTTTATTGAAGTAATGGAGTTTCACAAAGGGCATGTCTGTAATAATAGCATCATAAAAATTATCTCGAATTTTAAGATGCACCATTTTATTTGGTATATTTGAATGTTCCTCTAAAATATAGCCCATCGCGATATTTTTCCCAAGGCATGGACTTATACCACCACTTGTTATAAATCCAACTTCTCTATCTTTATAATAGATTTTTATGCCAGCGCGTGCTGGAGGAGTTTTTTTTTTTCCACACATAATTAAACCAATCCGACGACGACTAATTTCTCCTGCTAGCTTATTTAATTGTGACAAAATCCGGTTGCTACCAGGAAAGTCCCTTTCATTACGCCGGCGTCGTGCTGTGTATATAACAATGAAGGCGAATAAAGTTCACAAGCTTAGAATTTAAAAGAATTAACTAACCAATTAACCAAGCTAAGCCTGCTTCTACTGGTGTAGTATCATCGGTGATATCGCTGCCATACAGACATAGACCAGATTCCAATCTTAGCGTGTCCCTTGCACCCAGGCCAGCCATTTTTAAATGTTCATTTGTTTCTAACAACGCTTCGGTTAAGTATTCAACATGAGTCGAAGAAACGGACACTTCTATACCATCTTCCCCAGTATAACCACAACGTGATATACGACACTTTGGAATTCCAGCTACTTCACTAACAGTCGTGTGCAAAAAATATAACTGGTCCAATATTTTTGGTTTCGGAAGAAGTTTTTTCAAACTTCTGACGCTTTTTGGTCCTTGTAAAGCAATGAGGGATTGATCGCTTGTAGACAAAAATTCGATGTCAACGTTTTTTCCCTCTGCTTTAAACCGATCCTAAAATATACAAATGTTTACGTGAATTCTATCAGAAATCTCTGACATTAATTGAGATTTTTTACGATATAAATAGGGCTATAAAATTATGTAGGGGCAAGATATGGATCCAGGAGACGAACAAGATTTTAACCTTGCATTCTGGAGTGATTATATATGACAATTAGCAATATTTTTATTTACCTTGGCTTCTAGCATTATTTCCATATCTTGAGATTTCATTGCAGCATTCGAGACAATATACAGTTGTTCGTCATCAATTTTGGACACAATTAAGTCATCTAATATTCCTCCATTATCATTTGTGAATATTGTTAAGGAGCTTGTGCCAAAAGTCATTCCCTTAATATCAGCAGTGCATAGAGATTCTATACATGGTATGGCATCTTTTCCACGTACATATGTTTGTAACATATGCGAAACGTCAAATATGGAAGCATGATGGCGTGTGTGCAAATGAGATGAAACTATACTCTGATCCACATACTGTACTGGAAGAATATATCCTCCAAAATGCACCATTTTTCCTCCATGTTTCTTATGAAAATCATATAGAGCTGTGTGTTGGGCTTTAATTAAGTTATTTGCACTGCAATATTTCTGAAAACTCTTTGGTAAAGCATAAGAAATACCATTAAATTTGTTCACTTTAAACATTGCTTATGATGTTTCGGTATTAACTAAAATGGCGGGATGAAGTCTAGATGAGACAAGTATATTTTTAATCTATGTATAAATAAACGAACTCGCTATTTTTATAAAGTACTGATAATAAAGTGCTGATAACGAATAATTGCTTTATAGTCAATTCTTCTTATGTACAAAACTCTAAAGCTGACCTATTCAGAGTAATAATGCATCAATAGTCTATCTGACACATACATATGTATGAATGTATACTCAGATGTTTTATACTATCGCAACATAAGCAGAAGTGCTAAGGTTGGGAGCAAAGGAATTTTAGAAACTCTCGTAATTTAATAGAATTGAACGTTCTGGAACTATTTGGAGATATCTGCACTTCATTATTAATAAACAAGTAAAAAAGCGCTCAGTTTAGGTGAAGTCGAACAATAGATGCTCTCACAATTTGTAAAAAATAAAAGGGTGTGAATTTTATCTTGGTGTGCAAAACTTTATTACACACGTGCTACTAGTCAATATATGTATGTACATATATACAATATACAACAATACAGTATATATTTTATTCGTTATTAGTATAATAGTTTTGTTCACCTTAAGACTAACCCCTAAAACTTATCGAGATAGATGTAGAGTTATATATATGTAAAAGGTCAGGATGGCGAAACAAGGTTACTCTCTGTGTGTTCGTCCGTGCAAGCTGGAACTTGAGAAAAAACTACACATGTTCCTTGGCATCATGGAAAGTTCGGTATTGTAGACGGGCGGAATCAGATTACTGCCACGCCCAAAAAATTCAGTTAACTGAAAGTTTATAAAAGCCCATAACTAAGCCGCAAATTAAGACAGTTAAGATAGTTTTGATGATTAATTTGTACAGCGAAATGCATGAGGGAGGGCATCTGTGGTTTGAAAACTTTTAAAAAGTGGGCTTGGCTTCACCCACTACTAAGTGGCAGGAAGAGAAGGTTTAAATTATCCTGAAACCGAGAAAAGACAATTACTCCTTGCCAAAATATTATATGTACATATGTACCTATATCAATCAATCTAACATCTTTCCTACTACAAACTCATTAAAAACCAAATTCCACCTATTCGCCTGGCCTACATGCAGCAAGTTATATCAAAGGTAAGTCATTTGATACCGCTCTATACGAAGTAGTCGGGGAAATTGAAGGATCTTCAGACAAATTTCAAATAGTCCCCTAGCGACCTTTATTGACTTGACATCGTCGACCGAATCAGAACCTAAGCCTATTTAAGTCATATGCTAAGCAATATACAACTCATATACAATAAGGAAGGTATCAAAATCGCTCATCAGATCACTTGTTACACTCCGGATGCGGTGTCTTATACCCCTTACTTTATTATCTTCTTAAACGAATTAATATTTCTACTCGTCAGGGAGAAATTCAAAGTATTTTGCTGTGCGGAGAGGAGAGAGGAAATTGATATCTCCGCTAAGTGGGCGGAAGGACACAGGACGAAACGAAGCTGTAGAGAACGCATTTAATGCAGGGCTTTCAAAGCGTTTTGATTTTGGAACTCCTGCATTGCTTGGTGGAAAGCCCTAATGAAAAAGTAAAACGTTAAGCCTCTGGGATAGGGCACAATAGACCTTAGGTCGCGGTGCATACCTGAAAATTAATTAATCTATTCTAAGCTTCTGGGATAGGCGCAGCGGGAGCATTTGAAAAATATCTCAACAAAGGCTCTGGAGGCCATCCTCGATGTGAAGCCAATACATATCCAAAGGAAGTATAATTTAGTGCTTAGGGTCAACCAGCTCAAGGGTGCAGACCATTGGAGTCAAGCTCAGCGTCTCTGCGGGTTGACAATCGATCTAGTTACAGAGCTCGAACTAAATTGGTACACACTATCAAGGCAGGGCTCATATCTGAAGTACTTTCAGTTAGTGTTGATGAAGGGCAGACCAGAATTTTCCTATTTTTAAGATGGAGGGAAATAAGTAGGGCTGCAAATAATGCATTAATAAAATAATTAACTAAGAATTAATATTTGATTTAATATGGTCTTTTATTTATAATCCCAAATACAGTATTGAAAAATATAAAAAATATTTAATCCCACAAATAGTAAAAAAAAGTAAGCCCAAGTATAAAATTAAGAATTAAAAAAGAAATTGTTTTAGAATTAACATTTGTTTCGCGTTTGTGTATTTCGTGGTCTACTGTTTTAAACTAGAGCTCGTACAGAGCCATCATCTTTAATACTCTAAAGCAGTGGTCGGCAAATTTACAAATTCAAATTAAAAAATTAAATTTTAAATATTTAATCCCAAACATCTAATTTTATAAAAGTCTAATTTTTAATCCCAACATCGGAATTAAAACATATTGTAAAAGTTAAATTTTTAAACACAACATCATTGGAATAATAGTTGAAAATCTAATTTTTAATTCAAAATTTTTGAATTCAAAATTTTTGAATTCAAAATTTTTGAATTCAAAATTTTGCAACTCTGGAAATAAGTAACATTTTATGATTCGGTAGAATGCAGAGCATATGAGGAGGGTAGGTTCATTTCTGTGAGTGGGGTATTCCTCCAATTGCAATGGTGTGGTGCGTCACGAGGTTGTATAGTTGTTAAGGAATACTACACAGAAGTTATGCAACGTTTGCGTGAGCAATACGGCAGTCAAAATATGAAATTGAGGTATTAAAAAAGACACTGCCCATTTTTATAACCAATCCATTTCAAAGATAAATCAATAAATAAAGTTTTATTTAAAAACTCCGAAACAGCTAAGAAATATACAAAGGCTTCGACCCTTAAAAGTTTTTTATCTGACAAATTAAGTTCCGTTAACTGCGGCCTCTAAAATCTGGTGCATCAATAATTGTTTCATCAAATAAATTTAAGGAATGTACCGCAGACTTTCTTCTCTTCACCTCCCTCTTCATTTATCATTACCAACAGATATTAAGCATTTTCATGCTTTGTAATATAGTAGCCGGATAGACGCTGAATTTGAGTTCAATGAACTATCATAATTAATTTTCGCTTTCCTAGGAACCATTCACTCGTCAGAAGAATTGGTTTTTAAATTAGATCTACTAAAAATAATTATTTGAGGCTTCTTATTGTTACCGTTCGTATAAAACATTTACCACAGTTGCGTTGCAACTCATAAAGAAACAAAAATTAGAGTATTTTATGTTTTAATCAATGTTTATTCAAGTATAGGATAATTTAATCGAAGTTTAAAGAATCAGTGTTAATATGTTTTCACTGAGTTAATGATATTCAATTATAGCACGTTTATAGTAGTATAAGCTTATATAAATAGACAAACAAGATCGGATTATTATTACTTTGCTTCAGTAGGGTAAAAATAAGAAAAAAGCATACATATTTGCGCACATAAGCAAATAATATCATGTACTTGTGATGTAAAATAGGGTATAAAATGTCGAATCACCTATATAATTGAAAATAAGTATATACATTTCGTATGTTGATTTCTTTAAACGTGTTAGACATTCCACGATTTAGTGCATATATTTTTTTAAAAATCTGTATAAGGTAAGCTACTTTGCGCTGTTAAAGGCATCTGTTGGTAAATGCCGCAGCTTCTAATATTGGAGGCCTTAAAACTGTTATCACATGGTGATTTATAGGAACATATGCCACTTGACTTCCAACCACGCGCTGTATTATTATAATTTTGACCATGCAACAAAGCAGTGGGATTAATTCGTTTTGTGTAAACAGGAGAAGGAGTCCGAATATAATTTATATCGGTTTTTGGAAACTTAGAATGATATGGCGAAATTGTCAACTGCTCGACACTGGCTGATTTTTCTCCGAATGATGTCGGCGGAATATTTTGAATTTCGTCTACATAAGATTTCATAGATAGTCGACGAATTTGTGGGTTGTAGTCATTGTTTTGTGCTTGATCACCAACATTCTGGAACTTTGCGATTTTGTCATAAGGTAATGGTGATGGATTATAATTTATTTGTGACACAATCTGAGAAGTTTCTTGCTGCACTGGCCTACTGCCGTTTGGTTCACCGTAACTTCTGAATCCATCAGTATTTGGTTTTGCCAAAGGAAAGCTACTGATTCTGGGAAGCGTTGTTGATGCAAAACTCCGAGATGACTTAAAGTTCTCGGGTCCTTTAATGGTTACCACGGGTGATGGAGCATAACTTTCCAATGATATCTCCTTAGGTAGATATAGCTCTGTTAATAGTAAAAATAAATGAAAAATTAAATTTGAATTAGTTTTAATTATTAAAATGATTTTATACACGAAAGCATATAATTAGACTCGGCTGAATATTGTCCCAAACCAATTTTTGATAAACTTTTGGCGTAAGTAAAAAATAATTTTCTTCACTTTTCGAATTGAGGCTCTGAGTTCGAAATATAGATTTTCGATATTGAACTGATGTTGAAAAAGTATTTTTAATAGTTTTATATAAAGTACTGAAAAAGGTGAAATGACATACAAGGTGCATTCCAAAGTAAACAGGACTTAAAAAAAAAAAGACAGAACAAATGGTTTTATCGGCAAAATCAATTAATTTTATTCAAAATAGTCTCCTTCTGCTTTAATACAGCTTTTTGCACGGTCCAAAAGTATATCGAACGACTGTTTTAGCTCGCTGCCCGATATGGCCGCCAGTATGCCGGTGCATGCCTTTTGAATGGCCTCCACGTCTGCATAACGCTTCCTTTCGCAGACGCACAGTGCCATATCAGGTGAATACGGGGAGTGGTTGATTGTTTATATGTGATTTTTGGTCAAATAATCGGCCACAAGCGTCGATCGAGGAGACGGCGCATTATCGGTCAACAAACGTCGAATACGGCGCACCAAACGCTTCAAAACTCCAAGGTAGAATACCGCATTAACGTTTTGGCTGAGTGGAAAAAATTCTTTGTGGACAATACCGTTAGAATCATAAAAACAAATCAGCATTGTCTTCACTTTTGACTTCTCCAGGCGCGATTTTTTGGGTTTCGGCTCATTTCTCATTTATGTCCTCACGATCACTTTGAAAACGTTGAAGCCACTCGTGCACTCTGCTACGGGATAGACAACCATCGTCATAAACTTGTTTCATCAATTGAAACGTTTCGGTAAAAGTTTTACCAATTTTAAAACAAAATTTAATGTTGGCTCTTTGTTCGAAGCTCATTTTCGCACCGATGACAAAAACATACTGACACTTAAAACGCAATAACTCTACTTACAATAGATGAGATGTCATGAAGTTTTTACTGGAAGTCGATAAAGGATAGCAGATTCTAACGCACTAGTCGACATATAGATGGCGCCACTAGAGTTTACTTTGTTACTTTTTTACTGTTTACTTTGGAACGCACCTTGTAGTTCGCGTTTTGTTCTTATTTCAATCGCGTATATCTTATTCTAATAAACTTAAATATAAATGATAACAATTTTATATGTCAGAAAGACAAATTTATTATTAGAAATTATCTAAATTTATATTATAGTACTGGTATCGTTTTAAGAGTGATTAAGCTTGTTTTTTCTGTTATTATTATATTTACTTATGACACAGTCCCTTTGCAAAGTAGTTTGGTTCAATACAAAGAAAAAGATTCGTTGCCAGAGTTGTATCAATATTACCTATATTTGTAATGTTACATATCTATATATACGAGTACTTATTATTATAGAAACAAACATTTCAATAGGTAATCTAGCAGATGTTTGAATAGATTAGTGAAGTATTAGTTATGAAGCAAAAGAGTAAGTTGTTAAGCTATTTGATAAATATGTATGTAAAGGGTCTTTGTAGTAATGACACATTGTTATTTATTGAGGAGTTTCTGATTTACGATCGAGAAAACACATGAGTTACCGTTGTTCACATATTATTGATTAACTTGCCTTCAGTTTGATTTTGTAATTGATGAGTTTCGAATACGCTCAAAATATCGTCTACCTTTCGATTTTCTCTAAACAATGATGACGATAATGCTATTTCTAATGCATCATTTTCATGAATTTTATGGATATTCACTTGATTTGATTTTATTTGTTTAGCTTCGTTGTATACACGGTCCTCTTCCCTAACTAGCTGTTGCTTATAGTTAGATATTAGTTCACGAACAGCAATTTTGACGTATTCGTTTTCTTGGTTTTGTTTCTTTTTGAAGTGTTGATGTTCCAATGACGGTGATCGGTTCAATTGTCGTTGTTTTTCTAGCCGGTCTTTCTTTTGGCCATTCTGAACTTCTTTTTCTAGTCGTTTTGTATCCTTTTTCTTTTTTTCCATTAATTTACTGTTGTAGTTATTTAATCTTTCCAATCGCTCATTCACATTTACATACTCTGATTTGCTATTGATTTTGTCACTCTCAATCACTTTCTGTTCATTATGTAATTGCTGCAGTTGTCGTTTAATACCCACATCTTCTAAATCTAAGTTTATATCTCTTATTGGGCTTGGAGAACGCATAAATTTATCAAGAAATTCTAGCGACTTGGTTTTCTTACTTTCAGTTACAACTTCTACCTCATAGCTTACTAGTTGTGGGTATGTTATTTTATAAGTGCATTCATTGGGATCAATAACCTTCTGACCACGTTCTTTATTGTTATTAAAGTTTAACGTTGCACCGCGGTAAAAAAAAAATTATGCTTAATAACGAATTCTGATTCATACCCAATATTTATATAAAGTTTTACAAACATCACAAAATACATCACTGCCTTTAATTTATAAAAATTGAGAAAGTACCTACAAGTAATGTTCGTCTGTGCTCTTAGCCCTTCTGTACTTGATTTAAAACAAATAAAACACAATTTTTCGGTTATCATAAATCGTACTTCAGACTCTATAAAAGTTAGGAAAAAGACATTTCAACATAATAAAATCGATTTTATTCACTCTATGCAAGGTAACAGTTGAATACTTTTCTTATTTGCATATATTTCCATTCAATTCTAATCCCTCAAGAGTATAATAATTACGACATCCCACTATATTGTCTTAAAGTCATACTAAATGAATTATAGATCAAAATTTTTTATCTACCACGTCGGGCAGTTCTCTACCCAGCGATAAAATACTACCCAGCGATAAAATACATAATTTCATCATAAAACCTTCCATATATCCTTCAAGCTTGTGTAATAGAATTTGTTTAAAGTTACCCCTCTATTGTTCGGCTATTGTTGTAATAGAAAGTGAATTGTGTAGATGGCTTGTGTTAAGACGAACATCAAGGCTGAGTCAGAACGTGTAGAGAGTCCGGACGGACAAGTTGTGTGTCAATGACATATCTTAATAAATAAAAAACTTAATAATTTTATCTCTTGTGGTACCGTTTATTAATATAAATCCTTCAAACACAAGATGGCGCTGCGTCTAAAGAACGTTTAAGTGCAATTAGAGAATTTTGACAATTTTGTAAAGTATTGAAATTAACAAACTGTAAAAATGGTGAACGAAACAGAACCGTTAAAAACACCAAATTTCTCGGGATTAGCTCCCCCGGAAAGCTTGAATAATTTAACGGATGAAGAATTTAAACGGTGGAGAGTACGTTTTGAAATATTGTATATCGCACGACTTCAGAAGCCAAGAATTTGTCAAGCGAAGAGCAAGTCGCGCTTTTATTGCATGTAATTGGAAACTCTTGCATCGACATATACGAAACGCTCAACCTCACAGAGGAAACAAAAAAAGAGCTATGATGAGGTAATAAAGAAATTCACACATATTTAATACACGTAATCAACATGAAGAAGAAAAAATTGACGCATACTTAACGGAACTACGAAAACTAAGTTCGGAATGCAACTTTGGCGATTTGAAAGATAGAGTGATTCGTGATCGCATAGTAGCAAGAATACGTGATATAAAAGTAAAGGACAGATTATTAAGAGAAAGTGACTTTAATTTGGAAAAAACGATTCATATATGCAAAGCGGCCGAGTTAGCTGTGAGTCAGGTTAAGAAAATGGATGGCTCGTTGGAATCTGACATAAATACAGTACAAAGGAAAACAGGCACCAACAAAAAAAAGGCCCCAAAAGGCACGGAACAAGCTAAGCAGAAGCAACAACAGGTGGTTACAGAAAGAGATGGAAGATATTCAGCATCTGGCACCAAGGGTAATTGTAAATTTTGTGGTTATACACATGTATATGGAAAATGCCCGGCATATGGTAAAACACGCAATTCATGTCATGTTCATTTTAGTAAGGTATGTCATAGAAAAGGTAATAAAAGTAAAGAAGTGAGTTTTGTTGATACTTATGACAATGAGTACAGTGAATTATTTGTTGAGTTAATTCATGTTGATATGATTAATGCTAAAAAAGACTGGCTGCAAACAGTAGAGTTTGTCGATTATAATAATTTTCCGTGGTCTCGTTTTAAAATTGATACATGCGCACAATGTAATATAATCTCTACTGATATGTGTAGAAACCTTGGAATTACTGATATAAAAAATAATTTACGCTAATGTTAAAAGATTATTCAAGGCAAAAAAAATAATATTGGTAAGGTAGATTTGAAATGGAAAATGTATGGAATCACGAAAATGACTGAATTTCAAGTAGTTGAAGGCAACTATACGCCAATATTGGGTTTAGAAACTTCTGCAAATGAATTTAAATTGGAAAGATAAAAGAACATAAATATAATATTGAATTAAAAGAAGGCTCAGTAGGAAAAATAGAGCCATGTAGACATGTACCTTTTAAATTACGAGATAAGTTGAAGAAAGAAATTGATAAAATGGTCTTAATGGGAGTAATTCAAAAAGTAGAAGAGCCATATGGACTCTCATCAAGTCCAGAGGTGTTCCATAGAGTTTTTTTCTGAAATTTTTAAAGATATTGACAATGTTAAAATATATATAGATGATATATTGATACATGCCGAAACTGAAAGTGAATTATACATAACAACTGAGAAAGTGTTTAAAAAGGTCAGGGAGTTTGGAAGTTCAATTTAGAAAAAAAGTTGCTTAGAAGTTACAAAAGTTAAATATTTAGGTCATGGCTGTTCGGAAAAAGGTATTGAAATTGATGAAAATAGAATTGATTCAGTAGAAAATATGAGTGAACCAAAAAACAGAAAAGAATTACAAAGTTTTTTGGGTGTTATCAATTATGTTTCGAAAGTTTTGCCGAATACAGCTCAACTTACTTTTAATCTGAGAGCTTTAAATAAAAAAGGTGTTCCTTTTATATGGGGAAAAAATCAACAAGATGAATAAATTAAAATGCTTGTTATGTAAACCAATAACCTTAGCTTAATTTGATTTGAAAAAAGAGTGTACTCTAAGTGTGGATGCTTCTAGTGAGGGGCTAGGTTGTGTGTTACTGCAAGATAATAAACCTGTAGCTTATGGATCAAGAGCTCTTACCGAAAAAGAGAAGAGATATAGTCAGATCGAAAAAGAGTGTCTTGCAATTGTATATGGGTGTAAAAGGTTTGAGCAATTTTTGTTTGGTCGAAGATTTTAAGTACACATAAGCCTTTAGTACCGATTTTTGAAAAACCGCTAAATAAATGTCCCCCAAGATTACAGAGAATGTTAATTAGTTTACAAGTTTTTGATTTTAAATTTGAATATATAGCTGATCAATTGAGTAGAAATTTTCAAAAAATAACTGACAATAATAATCAAGAAATAGTTTCCGCTTATGTTGCTATGATAGAGGAAAATTTTAACATCACTGACAATCGATTGGAGGATATTAAAAATGAGACTGTAAAGGATAACGAACTACAAGAAGTATAAAGGTACATTCGCAATTGCTGGCCTAATAATAAAAGTGAAGTTTCTGAAAGTGCCAAGCCATACTTTACGTTGAATGATGAGTTTAGTGAAATAAATGGTATAATTTATAAAGGAAATTGTATTGTAGTTCCTTATTCTCGTAGAAAATTAATGTTGCAAAAAATTCAGTATGAGCATTTTGGAATAGAAAAATGTTAAAGGTTAGCAAGACAATTATTATATTGGCCTGGAATGTCTAAACAAATAAATGACTTAGTCGAAAAATGTGATTTATGTGATCGATATCAAAATGCAAACGCTAAAGAACCAATGACAAGTAAACAAGTTCCACAAAACCCGTGGGAAATTCTGCCGACTGATCTATTTTACTTATTAGGAAAGAATTATGTAATTGTTGTAGATACGTATAGCAAATATATTGAAGTTGAAAAGTAGAATGACATGCCAGCAAAAACTACAATTGAATCGTTAAAGAGTACTTTTGCCCGACACGGCATACCGAAAGTTTTGTATACTGAGTCGGGTCCACAATTTACAGCCTGTGAATTTAAAGATTTTATTAAAGAATGGGGATTTGAACATAAAATTACATCTCCAAAACATCGTCAAGCAAATGGTGTAGCTGAACGGCATATTCAAACGTTAAAACGAATTTTAAAGAAAATTATACAAGAAAATAAAGACAATTAGAGTTATTACAATTAAGGAATATGCCTGTAAATATTGATAATTTAACTTCATCTGAGTTATTATTTAATAGAAAAGTTAAACATCTTATACCTGATGGTAGACAAGAAGTCAAAATTAATAAAAATAAGTATTATAAAGGATTAATTGATCAGCAAATGAAACAAAATAGTTATTACGACAAAGGCTCTAAAAATCTCTAAAGATAAGGTGAAAGTACATGACGCTGATAGAAAAAGTGTCCCGCATTAAAGTGGCATAATAATTGGAACTAATTTGAATCCGAGATTATATAAAGTTAAATTAGAAGATGGACAAACTATAACGCGTAACAGTGAACAATTGTCTGTAGGTCATCACTTTGATGATAAATCGCGTGAAAATGATATAGAAATACAATATAAAAGATCAGATAAAAATAAAACCGACAATTCGATTAATGTTGATACTGATCGCGAGAATAATGATCACTTGGATTAGCCGCTGGTGCCGGCACCACTTCCTCAAAATAATAATAACAATATAGTTACTCGAACTGGAAGAATTATTAAAAAGCCTGAATATCTCAAAGATTACGTTTATACTATAAAAATCTAAGTGTTAAAACAAAGATCGAATTGTTAAAAAAGGAAAAGATGTGGTAATAGAAAGTGAGTTGTGTAGATGGCGCTCAACACGGCTTGTGTTAAGACGAACATCAAGGCTGAGTCAGAACGTGTAGAGAGTCCAGACGGACAAGTTGTTTGTAAATGACATATCTTAATAAATAAACGACTTAATAATTTTATCTCATGTGGTACCGTTTATTAGATCCTAGACCCGTAATACGCTGTATATCAAAGATTCGTAATAGAATAATAGAATAAGGATTATGTTGTCGGTCAATAAACATGGTTTTCTGTATGAACAGTCTTGATTTTGGACAAAATTTCAATAGAATCAGCGCACACAGTTTTACGGGAATCAGGGCCATGGATTGTTGGTAACTAAATCTTGAACTATGTTAGAACTTTCTTTATTAATCGTAAACTTTTTATCTCCGAAAATATTTAAAATTCGTATCTCTTGCGGAATGGAATTGTTTCAGTCATATTATTTATAAATGGATTTAATGAATTTAGCACTTTGTTATCCCAGTACCATATCATTGACGGTTTAATTTTGAGAGTGTATGCGTGTGGAGATCGACTCAACTGTCCCAGTGGTACGCTTTACTGATCCTTTACGTTTTCCAGTTCAAGTGTAGTTATGACCATCACTGGTTTCCTTTAAATCGTTTTTATGTGAAAATAGTGTGCAAAATAGTTTCTAAAGCTTCTGTTTCAATTAACAACATATATAAATAACTGTATTTTTAATTATGAGTTAATTGTTCACTGATATATCAAAGAAATTGCATATATATTTAAATGTTCTAGAAAGAAAAAATCTAATTACTACTCAATATCAAAGGACATATATATTCGTTGACTTTGGCTTCATACATACATGCGTACATTTTCCGCGCACGTCCTGCTCCAATGTATAAATCTACAAGTAACCAATACACACGCAAAAATGTCCCACGTGGTACGGGTTGCCTACTTATATTCTACTGCTAAAGTCGCACTTGGTACGAACCCCAACCAATATTATACTACTAAAACGTCCAAATGACACAAATCTGCTATAGTGTGTTGCCGTGTTATGTTTTAAAATTTAAAACTTTAAGAATGTTTTTATTACATAATCAAATATTTTTCGGTTGTTTTAATTCCTAAAGATTAAATTTACATAGTATTATTTAAATTATTATTTATTGTATTGAAATATTATTAAATGTTTCCAATTTAACAAATATATTATTGTTTAACGGTGATTTAGAATATTTTGTAAATATTATTTATTACTTAGTAGATTGTTTTGATTATTGTTATTGTTCCTGAATTGAACCTCATTTTTTATATATATTTATGTTTTTTTTTTAAATTATACAAGTAGATTGTTTTCACTTATATTTGTTCTTGAATACAATTCAATTGTACTGATTTTTATATATTTATTTTCGTTTTTGTTCTAATCAAATAATTAATATTCATGAACCTGATTCATGTACCTGATTTTATGTATATATCTTTTCGAGTTATAATTGTTATGAAAAGTAGATTGTTTTAGAACTGTATATATTATATGGGTGAATATAGACCTCCTGGGGAACCGAACACCCAAAAATTATCGGTAACGCACCTATATTGCAACTTCAGAGGTTGTGAGGAAAAGCAATAAATAGATAATAATCTTTTGTTTCGGAAATATTCTTGAAATTTTTCATTAATATTCTCCATTACAAATACATGTTCACAAACAAGATTTTCATTTACATCTCTGAGTCAAAAAAAGGCAGATTCGATCAGGTGTTCACGGCTGTTTCACACGTATAGGAAAACAGCTGATTCTTTGGTTACTTGTAGGCTTACACAATGCTGCGTAGTCAGAAAGCAACTCGCACTGTCATCATTTCTACGGTATAATAACCAGAGATAACGAGATACCCAACTCGTCTCTCACTGGAAATGAAAGTGCAATTGATAAACGTCAAAACCTACTGAACTCAAGCAACTGTCAAAGTTCAGTAGGTCTGACGTTTAGCAATTGCACTTTCATTGGAATTTGGAATTTTTTTTGGATAGGTAAATGTAAAATTTTGGACCTTTCTACAATGCAAGTAATATTTTTATACTATTGCAACATGATGCTACAGAGTACAATGCCTACTTCCCATTCAATACATATTTCAACTCCATCTGATTCTTTAACTTTCCAGTATACAAATCGAGCACCAATGAATGAATCGGGAAAGAATCCTCTTTTGATAACAGTATGCCTGTATGTCGAAAATGGCTTGAATAGTATCAAATAATTTTCGTAGGCCCATATACAATACCTAATATAAAGATTTTCGAACTGCCATTTGGTTTTATATCGTATAGTATATCGGTCAATATGTAAGATTCTTATCAATATTATCTGACCGTATAATATTGAATAGTGAAATAGTTTTATGCCAAAAATATGTGAAATTGGTCGACGAATTACCCCAACCCCCATTTATGGAATTATAAACCTAATATAATTAATTTCGATTTTCTGGTTGACGTTTTGCACATCAATTCAATATGTTAAATTTAGCCTCTTCGGTTCAGATATATCTCATTTGAAGATGATTTTAATATAATTTTTGTTTACGCGATTAAAGTATATTAATAAAACTAAGCGAGTACATGGCCTTCCGTATAAGTGGCTAGATGAAAGTATTCCCCCGGCTTTGCTACTTGCTCGCTGCAAATGTAGGAAATGTTCGGATATAACCGAACTTCATTACCTGTTGACTATTATTGTGGATGTAGATAGGTGAGAATGAACCTATGGAGAAAGCTTGATGTAACTCAAGTCTAAGTGACTTACTATATTTGTTAAATTACGTATATACACATTACAGTAGTAATACACATTATGTAATGTATATGAAATTAATATACACGTATTAAAAATACCCATGCCATTTGCTATGCCAATAACTTAGGCCGAGCCAAAGAATCATGTAAGTAATTGGTATTTTTGTTTTACTTAAACAAAAGTCGTTAGAACCAAGTCCAAACACACCAGACATTCAGAGCCCTGATGACATAAAGATCGGCTTGAAACTTTGTAAAAGCTATGCCTAGATAAGGCAGTGGATTTGTATATCTGAAAGAGAAATTCACCAAACTCAGCGAGCCAAAAATTTAAGAGAGAATATTTGTACGTCCACAAATACGACGACTGATAAAGGATAAGAGCTTTGAAAAAACCTGATAGATCAAAAAGAAACTCGCCTGGAAATGTTTTGTGCATGTTGTTCAAAATTTTCTAGGAAACCATAGATCGGAAAACTACAAGGACTTTATAAATGATATAATGCCATATAAAGCTTTGGGGTCTCATCTGGATTTCTTTCCGCAAATTTGGGTTCTGTGAGTGACGAACAAGGCGAGAGGTTCCACGAAACGAAACGCTATTAAGAAAAAATGAGAGCAGGAGTGCAAATTATTGTTAGAGACTTAAAAAAGACTTTCCAAAAGCTAAATATTTACGAAAATTATGAGTATTTTTTCTATATTAAGCAATAATTTCTCTAAATGTAGCTGATAGTTGTACTTTTTAAGAAAATATATGTATTGATATAACAAGAAAACCTGACGTGTAATTTCTTTTTCATTCACATATTATTGTTTAGTAGCCCTAGTACATTCAAAATTTAATATGAGTTTTCATGTGACAAAAGAAAAGTTAACATTTTGTTAACCAGTGTTATATGTGGACATTGCGCAAATTCTTCTTTCTTAACCTCCTACAACGCATTTGTAGGAAGAGACATACTCGAGCTCCTTACATGTCCCAACAAGTTGTCTTAACCGAGGAAAAAACCAATTGTCCTAATTAACAAGAAAATTTATATAATGTAGTATAGTAATGTAGATAGCAAATGAAACCACTATGTACTTAAAAACTAAACCAAATAATCCATATTCAAAAGAGAACGAAGTAGTGCTCATGCCTCATCATCATGATGTTCACAACAGAATTAGTCACAACAGAAAATTTGGCTGATTATCTATACTCTTCGTTTCTTCTTTTATAGTTAAGAGCTTCCAATACCTAACTTTGCGTATTTTCTTGCCAGAGCCTACCTACAAAATATATAAAATCACGTTGTGTAAGTGACCCCGACATGATTTTAAATAATATCTCAATTGAGTTTTTTTTTTAATTATACTGTTTTCTTTTTCTAGCTAGTGTCGATTAGTTAATCAAATAATATTTGTTGTTGTCTTTAAGTAATGGTCATTAAGCTTATTATATAAATAAATAACTTTTGCTAAATTTAATTTTATATTTTACTTTTCCTTACCTTTTGGTAGTGAAGGACTGGGCGCTTTCCAACCTTTCGCTAAACTAGGCTTATAAGCCAACGCTCGTTGAGGATTATGGCCAAAGTTTTGTGTAACTGTTGGAAAATATATCTGTGCTTGCTCCTAAAAGAATTATTAAAAGATTCATAAATACAAAATATGCCAAGCTAGTTTTTGAATATTAAATACAAATACGTATTATATAAAGATTTTCTTTCTTCTTATTTTTCTCTGGAACTACTCTTAACTTAAAACAATTATTGACTTGGGATGTGTTAAATACAGTAATGCAAAATGCTACTTATCCACGTACATATAAAAAATAATGAGTACCTATGATATACATATGTATACATAAAGAAAAAGTAGGATAGCAGACAAAAGTAAAAAAACACATAATCTAAGCACGATATATTAATCTTTAATAATTTTTAATTCCATTTTGAAGATTATATATCTCAACCAAAAATCTTAATCTCAAATAAAACTTAAGTTGATATTCATTTATTAAGATCAACTCTATGACTACATAACCTTATCAATTTAGAGCCCCCAAAATAATCAAAATAACTTTATGTCTTCCAATTTAATACTCTGAGTAGTTTGATGTTGACTACAGTGGGGTAATAGTTGAAAGTTTTTATGATTAACTAGTTACTTAAGAACTGCACAAGCAATGGGAAAATGTCCTACTTTAATAACAGTGGTATAAATAGTTTTGTATTAAACGGACTTTTTTTGAGGAAAGGATCCTTCCTAGCAAAGGCCTTTTTAAATGGTGCTTCTGCTAAGCCTTTACTAAAATTTATGTGCAGCACTAAAATACAGTCATAGAAGCTTTTCGAAGATTTTGTGCAGATCTTTAGCAGTTAAACATAATTTTTAGGAAAACCGAAAAAGAACAAAAGCATTTATTACATGTACATAAGTAACTGTAATATAGGATTCAAATATGCACTGAAATTTTACGATTCTAATAAATAAATGAATAATCGATAATAAATATGTTATTTTGGAATAAACCCGGTTAATTGTTTAGAAAATTTTAGATTTGATTAACCGGGAATATTCATTTTATGAAAGACATTTTATACAAAAATATATACAAACATGAAAGGGTGTTATGCTGTAATCAGCTATGAAGCCGTTTTTGTATGCCACTGCGTCGGCAATGTTGGGGTCCCTATATTTATAATCCGTTACTGGGACTGGAGTTAATGTTGGTGTTTTTACATGCTGAGTTCGTTGGACATCGTCTATAAAAGCTGTGCTAGCTGAACCAGTCTCAAGTGCTGCTTCCCATGGCGTTTTAACTACTTTCAAACCAGGCTTAACATATTTTTCTAGCACTTGCTCCTGATGCAAGTTCAATTGTACACGGTGCTTGCCGGCATCAGAATAAGCTGGTAAAATACTCGGAGATGTTGCTGGCCTCAACTGTGACTGCTGCTGATGGTAATCTGGAAGACCGGATGGACTTTCAATGCCTGTATTTGTATCATCAACTACCCATTTCTCAGATTTCCTGCGGCGCTTGGCAAAAAGTTCAGCACCTTTTGCGATGGAAATTTGTATTTTTGCAATTTTTTGTGCGGCACGCGAATGTCATTTGTTTACAGCATAGTGCAGCGATTTGCAATTAAGCAGGCACATTAAGCAGTAAGCGACGTTAATAAGCGTAGACGAGCGGTGATATGTGCGTAGATTTTTATATGAAGATTTGTAAAATGAAAATTTAATTAATTATAGATGGAGTGAGTAAAAAACAGTACTATATATTTAAATGTACTATAATACTAACTTCAGAATTCAAATATTTTGTACAAATAGTCGCAGTTAGTGATTAGATGGCTAGTCTAGCTAGTTTTTGTAACTACCTGCCACCTCGAAACAAATAAAGGGGCAGTGCGAGTTCGCCTACTACCGAATATATTTTTATTTATATTCGTATTTGCATTAAACTTATCCCTATACGCCGAATTCAAGTACAATCACAGCCGTAAGTAAGCCAATTATAATGTTTGTCATTCAATTTATATATCAATTTATAACATCAGCGTGAATATGGTAGCCTATTTTAAACCGAAGAAAGTATTTCAGGCATATCTTGTTATTCAATAATCAATTGAAATAAAACTAATTCTGTTTTTACACCGTAGATTGGTTCCAGAAAAAAACCATGTTAAAAAAGACATTTATCGTATGCAAAATTAGGTGACCTTATCTTTAGAACGTATTAAAATTTGTGAAAAACAAGGATTTTTTTAAGAACAAGTATTAATGTTTATTTTATCAAATCACATATATAATGTGTATTTAAACAAGCATAGTTCTTGAAGAACAAAAAGATAAGCACTCTAAGCTTAATAGTAATGTAAATTCCATGTATGGCAAGTTCAGGAACTAAAAGATTTTATGTAAAATAGCTAATAATAATTGAGTGAATATAAAATATTTCTTTGGCTTTTCTTTTATCTTAAGCGTTTAAATTAATCTTATTGTAACGTTGGAAAAACAAATTTGCTCATAAAAGACGTATTTATAAAGTACGTTTGATTTTATTGATAGTATCACAATATATAATGAAAAGAGAATTTCCTTAAATTTGTGCTATTTACAATTTCTCTGACCAGTAATACTGTTTGTATTCACAAAAAGGGAATTCCCCTAAATTTGTGATATTAACATATTTCGCAAAAATTAAATCAGTCAAATGAAATTTAAACTCAAAAAATTTGGAATTGTGCTAATAGTAAAAACAAAATTGTTCAGCCTTCTTCCGTATGTGTGTTGTAATATATTTCTTAAAAAACATGACCTCATTAAGCGCTCTATCCTGGTAACTCTCTCATTAAGCGCTCTATCCTGCCTCATAAGAATATTATCAATTGAAATGCAATACTTATTACAGCTGCATTCATACTTATAAATATTCATATACGTATATATAAATGCACAATTACCTTTGCCTTTTTGAGTCTGTAACGCCGTCACGAGTTCCGCACATTTATTAGGAGACAAAAGACCAGTTTCAATATTAAATGAGTCGCTCACTGACGTTATGTCACGAACCTTTCCAAAAGGATTCATTAAAAATCGAAGAGGCACTTGATTAAGTGATGATTTTTGAGTTGGTGGTTGTGTTGCATTGTTAGGAGACGAATTATTTTCTTTGAATTCCTCCTGATAAGTTTGCTCCTTCAAGGATGAATCTAAATTTTCAGCATTGAAATTGTTAGCGGAATTCATTTTTTCCTAGTTACCAATTTACGTTGTTTCTAAACTCACTTAATACTCTAACGGGTATGCCCTTCACCCACCATTCAAATTATATGTAACAGTACAAAATGATATAGTAATCACTATTCTTACTACAAATTTGTTATTTAATATGCTCTCAACATTTTGTACAGAGTATAATAGTTTTGCTCACCTATCCGTTGTTTGTAAATCCTGAAACTAACCGAGATCGATATAGAGTACATACATACATATATAAAAAGGATCTGGATGGCGGGACAAATTGAATCCGAATGATTGTCTTTCCGTTCGTCCATCTGCTTTTGAAAACTATAAAATCAATAAAATTGAAATATCTTGATGAAAATTGATACACGTGTTCACTTGGCACTCTGAGGATGTCGGTACTGCAGACGAGCACTAAGAAGATAATTCGCCCACCCGCAAACTCCGTTAATATAAAAATCGTAAAGTGCTATAACTGAACCACAAATTAAGCTACTAAACTAAAATTTGGTAAAGATAATCCCTGTAGGAAGACACTTGTGATTTCCACAAGATTTTTGTATATGATTGTATATGTACAAGTAAGATAATTTGTTAAACTTACTTAAAAAAACTACGACGAAATTCTTTTTTATTTAATTCTATTAATAAAAACCGGAAAACAAAAGGCAAAAATCCAGTACAATACATATCATATGTTCTAGTTTAATTAAACATTGATGTACATAAGTATCTTTGACGAGCGCTAACAACGAACTGATTCAATCGAAAAACTGTCAAAGACAAACTTTTAGCGCGAATAAACGTTTTCAGCGCCGTATAGTATGACATGATGCGACACGTAACACTATTACTATGGACAATAACGCCATCTCTTAGATAAAAACCGAACGAACTTTTTACTTGACCTAATATATCAAAAAATGTTTCTTCAATCCAATTACATTAACTACTTGTCTTCTTGTCAAAAATAAAAAATCGATATATTCTCAGTAAAAAACAAAGATCATTACGATAAGTTTCAAAACTGAGATAGTAATTATATAATAGATGGCTCAGTCACCAATTTCACCACTAATCTTTATCGAATATATGGTCAGTTACGAGGTTTGTATTTGTTGTTAGGTATTTGTTTGTTATTTAGGTTTTTTTGAATACGAAACAACAATAGCGGAGAACCAGAAGATTGCTTTCGTGCTTTTCAGAAAGGATGGTACAGCATATGGTATATTCGGTATCTAAGAATCTCGCTCTCATTATTTGTGTATAGTTTAGTTAGAATATCAGAATTGGTCTTTGAACTATTTAAGGTAAAGTAAAGAATTAGATTAAATTTAAAATATTGTCATGTAGACAGTAGGTGTGGCTGTAGTCTGATTTCATACTGTAACTTATTTGATATTGGTCAATTAGTTCTTGGCATATATGGTTTCACTTAGAACGGGCCACGGCCAGTATTTAATTTTAAACCGATTCCTATGAAGCCTTTCGTATCAGTACTATAAATATTAAAGTTTTGACGTATTTATAGTATTAGTATAGTAATCGTCCTATAGCAGTTTTCCACACAACCAATGCATGGGGATGGTCGTGGTATCATCCGATTTCATAAATTTTCACACTATATGAGGATGTGCTGCAAGGACTTCACCTTTGGTAGTTTGTTAAATAACAACATAAAACCTATTAGAGGGCGACACCATTGTACTAAATTACACTTCTGTATATTAATTTATGGCGCTTTATGAGTTTTCGATTAATGGCACTTTGTGCGTGTAGAAATAGTCCAATTTCCCTAATTTGCAATCTCCTCTGAGTACCAATGAACACATGTAGGCATGGGCAGGCAGACAGACAGACAATCCCAATTCAATTCGTTTTGATATACATAACTTTATATCTATCGTGCCTAATTTTCGTTGTTACAAACAAACGTTAATTGAACAAAACTATTATACTCTGTGGTAAGATCTTGCAAGAGTATAAATAGTGTATGCAGCTTTAATGAACAAATCTATAAAATTAAAATGTGGCACAAAGTGGAGAGGTATACGTGGCTTTCTTTGAAATTGTTGCTTGCTTCTTTCTGCTTTCACTGCCTGCTTAGATGTTGATGTCAGAAAAATCGTAAGTAATAAAATTCTTCAATACTGTCAAAAATGTAGTAATTCGCAAACAAATAGTGACCAGAACTTTAATTTAAATAAGAGCTTATATAGTATTCATAAGTGGATCGTTGTAAAAATGTATATATCGGTATCACTAACTATTAAGTGACGCACCTAATGTGAAAAAATATATATAAATATATCGATAGGATATACCTTTTAAAATAATATACTAAAATTTTAAATCTATATATCAAATAGTTTTTTATTTACTACAGCTAAAAAATATTTGAGGACAGATTTGTTTTAATCGTGACGCGAATATGAGCTGATAAAAATTTCGAAGTCCTTTTTGTCCTCTTTCGTAGTGGTGGTAAATTTAAAAAATCTTGTCTATTTTTTATTGCATTTTATATTGAAATTTAAGACAATGCATTTGCTGCATTTAAAGCGCAGTTGGCATAGCCTGCATCTGCCTTTTATTATTTACTTTACCCAGTGACTAAGATTGTCAAACAGTGTAGAATTTGCAAGCTCTTCAAAATACGCTCTTTTGTAGGAGGTTGATTCAGAAGCCGTCGAAAGAGTAGGGGATGTTGGTAAAAAATCTTTTGAAGGGGGGGGGCGACCTCTTTTTCTTGGTAAAACTGCTGTTTGAGTTGCGTTCATAAGTTCGTTAGCAATGTCCAACTGGAATCTTACTTGAGAGACATACTTTACTTTGCCGTCTCTATATTTGAGGTCTCTGCGATACAACAGCCAACTATGGACTACAGAGGAATTTATACACCTAATTCTGTTTTTACAAGGTTTGAAAATAATTTTTTTAAAAGTTTTTAACACGATTTTATTCCATTTAGAACGGTTCAAAAATTTTTGGGCATAATTTTTGTGCGAAATATGTTCATATCACAAATTTAGAAGAATTCCCTTTTTGTGGATACAAGCAAGTTTACTGGTCCGAGCACTTGTACACACATTTATGAGAACGATCAATGTCTTTTTTTACCCGGGTTTTTTTTGGAACCAATATTCCGTGTAAAAACAGAATTATGTATATATGTACTATACGCATATACCATTTATTTGAGCAGTAATTGATTTTGTTCAATTCTAACAGCAAAACAGCAAGATCGATATGTTTGTTGTAGTATTCAACAATACCTGAACGACGTACGTTCATAAACATCTTCTCTTTTCTACACCATCTCTTCCATTCGCTCATTGAAAACTCATATTATCATACCAACGACAAGCAATTAAGTTTTGCGTCGTCTCCAATTTAAAATCGCGTGATCCGCGGCATCGTTTTAACCCTTATGTTATTAACCAACTTTACCGACGTCTTTTAGCAACCGGGTACCGCGGTACCCACGATCTGAGTATTATTATTATTTTGTTTATTTTATTAAACAAAATAAATATTATTAGTCAGTGACAATTTAAAGGAAAAAAAATAACAACGTAGAAAAAAAAAATAAAAAAGTGAACTCACAAATAGCTTTCTTTTAAGTTAAAAAACGACGATTTGAGAGCTTAAAATGAAATATTGGATTTAAGTTATTCACACAAATACACCGCGGTGGGTACCCGGTTGCTAACATAAGGGTTAAAGTTCTTTTTCACTTAGAGCATAATTTTTCAACAGCTTGCTTCGAGTTGTACCTACGGATTATATAACACTTTGCCTTAGGGCAATCATCAAGCTTACTGATGTAAACCAATTGTCAAAATATAATTTGAAAATTCATGGGAATATTAGATGCTAATCTAAAACAATGCCTGATGATATTCCCAAACCAAAAGTCTGATATGTTCCTTCTCCAATGTAGAGTGTAAAATCGTAAACAATGCCAGATATACCAGCTCTATGAACATTTTTATGTTTATTAAAGTTAGAAATATAATCTGATATGTTCCTTCTCCAATGTAGAGTGTAAAATCGTAAACATTGCCAGATATACCAGCTCTAGTGAACATTTTTATGTTTATTTAAGTTAGAAAGATAATAAAAGCAAATAAATTTTATATAACAATTAATTTCACTGTGCAAACTTATATGTATCTATGTGTCTTTAATTGTCATATGCATTTATATTCACCATATTTAAATTTATTATTTATACTCTTTAGTGGAACAAAAAAACAAAAATTGTTTGTCAATACATTTCTTATATGTATTTATATTGTATATGAATATCATTCTTATAAATATATATTTTTTTTATAGATACATATAGTATGTAATTATAAATATTTTTTACAGCCTTTGTTAAATAAATTACAAAGAATATTCTCCTTAAACCTTATGGTTCACAAATGCAAGCAAATTTAATAGTATAGATTTCTACTTACGAAATCTGTGCTAAGAAAATTAAAGTAAAGGAAAAACGGAGAACGTAGAATATAGAGAAGATTCATGGTGTACCACTTTTCGCAGGGACGATGAGCGTGTTTCACCTCAGAATAATATGTTTCAGCACAGTTCAACATTAGCGGAATTGAGCATATTCAGTGTTAAATGAGAAAAATAATGCTAATTTGAATGTTAAGAAATGTACGCTTACCGGTCAACGGTTTGCATCTAACCGAAAACGTTTTGCTACATAGTTATTTCTAGCCACGTTATTTAATATAAACAAATTTCAAATTGAATTAAGGTTACATAATAAGGAAAAAAGACAGCGATTTCCTTGAGATAGTTTGTCAAATAAAAAAGCTTTCCATACAAGAATTTGATTTTAATCGGTCAGTTTGTATGGAAACTATGTGCTTTATTTGTCCGATCTGTTTGAAGATTGTTATTGTACAAGGACTTGATTTTAATCGTTCAGATTATATAGTAGTTATATCTTATATTGTTCCGATATAAACGGTTTTGGCAAGTGAGCAGCCTCTTGGGGAGAAAAAGACGTGTAAAAAATTATAGATCGATAGCAAAACATATTACGAACTACAGCCAGACGAACTGTGATAATTTATGTATATACGTTATTAATAATATTAAAAAAAATTACAACTAACAAGTAGGGAAGAGCTAAGTTCAAGTAAAACCGAACATTTCATATTCTTGAATATGTAGTTTGTCGCCTTCAAAGTAATAGATAGTTGTAATAGAAGTAGATATTATGCATTTATACCAGCGTTTTTTTCCAATACTCAAAGCACTTATAAAAGTCTTTGTTTATGATCGTGTTCAGCTCGTCCTTCGATACAGTTTTTATCTCCTCAGTCGTAGCGTAGCGTCGTTCTTTCCTGAGCCACTTCCGTTTTGGGAACAACAAAAAGTCATAGGGGCCAGTTCTGGTGAATACGGCACCATTAATATGTTGTTTTTGGTCAAATATGAGGTTTGTTCAAAATGTATCGCGAATTTTGAATTTTCGCGGGCTACGTGTATCGCATCTTCACCGACATCTACTTACCTAAAAGAGTAAGTGCGTTATGTCTAGGGGTTATTACTTTAAATGGGACAATATATATATTCATGAATAAATAAACGCTTTTTTAAGAAATACAAAATTCGCGATATTTTTTGAACAAACCTCGTATGTTATACAAACTCAACCGAAGAAGCAAAATTTAATACATTGAGTTGATGTGCAAAACGTCAACCAGAAGATCGGAATTGATTATATTAGGATATGAGATTAGGGCCAAGGATCAATTCTATTTATATTCAGCGATAGACCAAATAATTGTTAAAAAAGCTTATAAAGCAAGTGGAAAGTCGAAAATCACTACATAGGGTATATTGGGGGCAGAAAAGGGGTGGGCTGATTGCACTGACTACTGATTTCGCTCATTTTCACATATTTTCGGCATTTACCTATAGAATATCGAATATTATACGCTAAGTTAAATTTGCTAAGATATCATACATATTGAGCGACATATAAGGTATGAAGCCAACCATAAGTTTGAAAACTTTATATTAGGTATATGGAAAACAGAGGTAGTATTGAATCGATTTATCTATTATTAACAGAAAAAGATGATCAATAAATTTCATTAAGGTACCTCACATACCATTATTAATTTATAAGGAGTAAAGTCAACCAAATTTGGAAACTTCTCATATTAGTTATATGGCAAGTTTTCTTCCGATTTTATCCATTTTATGCAGAAAGATACACTGTTATTGGAAAAAGAGGCTCTCTCAATTTCATTTGAAATCTGATATTTGATAATCATTATATTAGTATATGGGGGCTTGATCGATTTTAGGCACAAGGATGCACTGTTCTTAAAAAGCGATTTTCTTTGAATTTTATAATGATATATAACATATTGACAGACATATGCGGTATAAAAAAAATAATTTTACCCATTCTTGCTACTGAAACATATTTTTGCCAGAAAAAGATGATCCCTGGGCTTCATTAAGATAACTTATATATTGTCTGATATATATGATATAAAATCGACCGGAACTTTGAAAATCTTAATCTTAAGTAAATGGAGGCTATGGAAATCAAACCCAGGACATATTACAAGTATAATGTAAAATGAACCATGAAAAGATGTTCTCAAGTTTCATTGTTTATATATGGCAAGAGACTGACCGCTATTTTTGGCAAAAGGTCAGCTATTGGCACTTCAGTCCAAAATCGTTAGAGCTGGTTCACCATGGTACATTCATAATGAAAATATTCATAATCAAATTCCCGTAATAAGAGATCTACCAGCATTCTAATGGCGACGTACTAAAGAAATAGGCTCAGCCATAACTTTGAGTTTGATTAGTTTTAAATATGCAGTTTCAATAAATAAATACTAAATGATAGTCGGATGAATATTGAAATTTTTGTGATTTTTGTCAAGTTGTCAATTGTTTGCTTTATTGGTGATACCCTTGCGTTTATGAATGGAAATATTTTCCTAATTTGTTATCTATTATATAAAAATAAGTCGGGTTTTCCTTCCTGACGCTATAACTCCAGAACGCACGAACCGATTTCCACGGTTTTGTATTCGTTGGAAAGGTCTCGGGCTCCGTGAGGTTTATAGCAAAGGAAATATTTTAACAGAAAAGCGGGAAAATCTTTTTTCACATACAGCGCCATCTCTGATACATAGCATGTACTACAAACCAATATTTTAAGTAGATGGCGCCGGTGCGTGATACATTGTTTGACAGCTACTCATTGTTCTCTGCTCAGTTAATTTCATGTGACAAACCGGTATTGTGTTCACTGTGAAATTGTGAAAAATAAGTTATTCGTTCCCTAACATTTCAATTGGAAACCATCAAATCAATCACGTGTATTGTGCAAATTTTTATTCAATTTCAACAACAGGCATTTGTCTTTAAGGTGGTAAGTTGAACTGTATAAATTATGTGGAGCGTGCATTTGAGGTTAAATTCACCACTCTATCCATAGTCCAAAATGCCTAGAGGACGACGTGCCAACATCGGCCGCCGCACAAGCATGCAAGCCAGCAACAAGTGTATTCACAGAACTTAAGCAAAGAAAGACAAAATATTATATAATAAGTGAAAATGCCCGATTGAGACAACGCGTGAGCACACGAAGATCATTGGCATCATACAATCGCTTGGCATTCCAATCTGATCCCACTGCGAACTACAGTGATGATGCAAACTTAGATATTGGACCAATGATGACTATATGCCGATATTGCAATGCGTTAAAGTTCAAAAGAGAAACGGCTGGATTGTGCTGCGCAAGTGGAAAAGTCAAACTGGATAAAACTACATACTCTTATTTGTTTTACACTTTTATTTGTGGTCAAAATCATGTGAACGGTATTTTGTCAACTTCCAATAACATGAGAGTTGTACATCTCTTCATCTCTGGTTTGTTTAGTTTTTTTTACCTATTTGGCGTTAATCATCGGCTGATTATAGCATATGTACAATATTTGTAAGAGTTCTGTTATAAGCGAGATTATCAGGGGTATTGTGAAATCTGAGACAGATTTGCGTAATTGTCAGAATTGCCAACCAATTCAGATTTTCAATAATGTCACAGAATCTGATTGTTATTTTCATTTTTTCGAACATACGGAAAACCAAAATCCGAATCAGCTGTTTACTAATGTAACATAACTTGCAAATGAATAAATTTGGAAGCGTTTGATAAGTTTTAATTACTGAATAAAGTTTACTAAAGCTTACAGTGAGTTCCGCTACTTTAGCTTTAATTTTATTTGAAGCAAAAACAACGAAAAAAATAAACGGAAGATATTATAAGATCACAGTAATCCACTTGATGTGCCAGGGGAATCGCAGGTGAAATGTGGCTTGCATTTACTTGTATGCTTGTATATACGCTTGCTTTACAGATTTATATCACATTATCGACTGAATATAGTCGCATTCGGGTGTTAAATTACGTTAATTACGTTTTGGAAATATATATAAATTAATTTTTTAACTACATTTCAAATATCAACGACCATCGTCTGACTTTGTTTTTGACAACAAAACCAATAAAATTAATTTCCGTGACACCCAAACCAAGACATCTACTACATTTTTTTTTATCGGTTTCAATTCAGATTCTAAAACACCCGTGTATATTATATTTTCACAAGACAATGCAATCAAACTATAATCCATATTTTTACTGGCAAGCGGGGCTAAGTACGCTTGGTTATTAAATTTTCAACACCTACCAAAATACAAATGAAAATTTGGGAAAAATGCACGGTGAAAGCGGCACAGAGCTTATAACAAAGCATAATTATTGTAAATAAAGAAAAAATAGTAGTAATGTATTATATTAATTGTGCCACGATAACATCAAAATAGAAATGAAAATTTGAGAAAAATGCACAGTGAAAGCGGTACAGAGCTATTACAAAGCATAATTAATGTTATGTTATGTTCCGAAAGTTAGTCAATTTATTTGATTTTAGTAATCTTTGAAAAAAGGAATATGTCAATGAACTAAAGTAACAAATTTCAATATTTGTGTGCCTCCTGTGCACTTTTCTTAACTGTTATAATCATATTTCTATCGGTTCAAGTTCAGAGTTTTATTTAACATTACAAAGCATAATTAATGTTATGTTATGTTCCGAAAGTTAGTCAATTTATTTGATTTTAGTAATCTTTGAAAAAACGAATATGTCAATGAACTAAAGAAACAAATTTCAATATTTGTGTGCCTCCTGTGCACTTTTCTTAACTGTTATAATCATATTTCTATGGGTTCAAGTTGAGAGTTTTATTTAACATTATGTTCACTTTTATGGATTTACATACCATACATACATGCATTCATTTTATCGGAAAATAATACATCGACCTCTTTGTTTATGTCAATATAAGCATAAAGTTAACTATACATATATAAAAACAATAAAAAAAATTGTTCCCATGAAATTTTTCAGGCTTTTAATGTCGATAGCGGTGAGCAATTTCTAGCAATTTCAGTGTTCCGAAGGCAATCATTTAAATAATGTAAGGTATAAATAATATCTGTAAATGCACAATCATATATTCTTACAACGAAAGAACTATTATTTCCTTACAATCCAAAATATTAAAAATTTTTCACCTAGAACTGCTAATAATTGTCAGACATCTCTCAGATATCCAATAATATTAAATACAAATTATAAAGTCTTTTTCATTTGTCATTTTGAGTGTATTTGATAGATAATCTTTTGCTGTGCCCTAATGAACGAAGAACATTTAATGTTTTTCTACTACTAAAAGTTTGACAAATTTTACAGAATTGTCTCTTTCTATAGTTTTAGCTTTTGATTTTGAAGTGTAAAGTGAGTTACCACATGCAGACCATTTATGTAGAGCCTCATTTCTTTGATAAATTTTGCAGGCAAATTCTGGGACTACTGCAAAGAATTACACATAAGGTGTATAAAAAGAAAGAGAAATGTATTTAAGAGATCTCAATTTGATATTTAAATAAGCAAATGGAACTACATTAGCAACAATAGAAAATATTGAGCTGAATTATTTAGTTGTTTCAGTATGAACTCAAGAAAGGGAACAACTTTTTCTTATTGGTCTCATAACACAAAGAGACCTATTGTTTATTTAACAGAGAGTACAAGTCCCACTTGCATTTTGTTATACATACATACATACGTTGTTTATACTATTGCTTATATGCACATACATATGTATAAAGAATAAGTACCTTGCCCAGCACCTTCGTGAACCCATTTAACAGAGCGTTTTGCGATTCACATACATTGATTGGCCTTTCGATTTCTGGTTGCTTATGTCGCTCAATGAATGTGATATTCTGCGTGCTAGTTCCACCTGATCTTCAACTGTTGGATGCAGAGCAGGTGAATAAAACGCCGATGATGAATACAATTTATTTAGATTTTTGATTTCGATTGAAATCAGAGAAAGAATTTATATGAAGTTCATAGAAAATAGGTGATACGCTTTGGATTATTTTTATTCTATTTTCTTTAGATGAACGTGTACATAATGTGCATGTGTATTGTTTGTCACTGTCATGCAACACTTCGGACTTGGTGAGTGTATCTTTGTTCAGCTCTTTAGTATGTACATATGTACGTAAATGCATATAATGAATATTACAGCGCTATACAAGTATATATGTACTGTATATATATGGTACAATATACTTATATTTACTCATACTAAAATTTTTAAGAAATATTATAAAAAGCTATAAAACCCTTCACAAAACACAAGATCCCATACAAGAACTTGATTTTGATCGGCCAGTATGTATGGCAGCTAGTGCTATAGTGTCTCGATCTAAACAATTTCTCCGGAAATTATACTATTGATTGGGCAATAATCAATGCCGAAATTCATGAAATATCTCGTCAAATCAAAATATTTTCACAGGACATGATTTTGATCGGACAGTTTGTAAGACAAATGAGCAGCTTCTTGAAGAAAACGGCCGTGTAGAAAATTTCAGATCAGATCTCAAATACTGACGGACAGTTCGCGTATATGCGGACAAACGGACGGACAGAAGGAGAGAGGGTGAGGGCAGCTAAATGATTCAGCTCGTCACGGTGATTATTTATATCGTTATATAGACGTTTTGGTTCCAACAAGATAATGACCCGAAGCATACTGCAGAAATAGTTAGACTTTGGCTCTTGTAGTAAACTTAAAACGAACCCCTTTTTCGACGCTTTGCGAAGTGTTATGAAAGAAGAATGGTCCCAGTTACAGCTGAGGAAACAGATAGGTTGGTAAGAAGCAATGCAAATCGATTGAGCGAGGTCTTAACACAACGCGGCTATCCAACAAATATTGAATTTAATTTTTCTTTATCATTTTTAATACTTTTGTAACTAATTTTAAAACGAACGCAGGCTTAATGGTGCCTATGTTTACTTCTCCTTACACTAAATCCCGTTATCACAAAAATGAAAATAGGAATATACATTTTGTTTTGCATATTGAACTTAAAATATAAAGAAGAAATACATGTAGAAAATTTGAATTGAATTACCTTTGTGTTTTTACTTCACTTAAAAATAGTGTCGGGTGAACGCAGACTTTATTGGCTATATGTAATACTTTATAGGTTCTCCGACGCTTCTTTTAGGTGTTACAAATATCGTGGTACCTATTATACCCTGTTAGGGTATAAATATTTTATATTTACTCGACTTAAGACCTAAAATTTAAAGTGCTTATTTAAAGGTCATCTGATATGTAATAGTTTTGTATTTGACATATAAGATTCGAGTTGAAACATAAACAATATCTTAAATCTACTATATTTTCAGACATTGAAGATCTTTATTTTTCATTGTATTCAGTAAACGACATATTTAGTAATGTTTACAATTTCATCGAAGAAAGATATACGCAAGAACAATACTTACAAATTATTCAATTTTATTATCAAAATAATCGTTCTCCAATTGCAACTTTTCGTGTCTTTTGCGTTGATCTTGACAACAGCTGGTTCCACAATAAGTTGTGATTTAACCCATTGACTATTCTTATAGGATTATTTGAAGTATTGATCTTTAGCAATATACCAGAATCTCTTCAAGCTTTATAAGACAATATTAAATTAAATTCATGAATTTGTTCGCATATAAAGTCGAAGCCAATTTAAATGATGTTATACGTAAACAAAAACATTTGAATTTCCTAACATTAGTGTGCTTTTTAAGAAAAATCATGTCACTCTTATTGGAAACCCTATACTATCCGAACTTGAGTTTTCTGAAATGTCTTGCCTTAACTCATATGAACTATAATATGTTTGCAGTAATCAAACTAATAAACCAAGGAAGGCGAATACCGATTAAATACATTTTAAGCATCATCACAATATTACGTGTAACATTTCAGTTTAACTGTATCGATATATCTCTCATTAACTGGAACCTGTCAACCGGAAAATCCAAAATTTTAGTCACATGGAGGTCAAAGATTCTTCTTGTATGGATTTCATACAGTTTTGGTATCAAACGACATTGCTGCCAAACAAGGAACCGAAGGACGGTTTGGATAGTGCAGCGGTACCATCTGCAGTCCTTCATTTCCGTCT